CCCCCTCCCCCCCACTTGACTTTGACTGCCACACGAAAATTTTCGGAGCAGTCGGAGCTCGGAGTGCAGTGTGTCGTGCACTTCGGTATTAATAAAAATATAACAAGATATTTATTGTAATATATTTTATTGTAATACGTATTGTATTACAAAATACATGATGTTGCGTTATATTGTGACTTATTCGAGAAAACGTTTGACGTACAGAATGTAATAGTTCGATAGCACATATAACATAACCAAAAGTAACGGGGAGCACCGAGGCAAAATAAACGGATAGCATGGAAAATAGAATAACCGCGCACAGTTTGTTACAAGGAATTAATTGTTGAAGTATTATGTCATCCGAAGGTATTCACTCGTGAGACATGGATAACATCGAACTGTTGTTCTTCGATACATTTTCCCATGACATTTCAGAGGTTTGTTTACGTTGATTTAATGAAGATTAATCGAATGGCGAGGAAAGGCTTATTGGCAGTTAACTTATTAAAGATTTTTGTTAAAATTTACGTCAATAACACATTGACATGAAAGAGAAGTTTTTACTTTCTCCTACGCTCAATCGCACCACGTATTTAAAGATTGCATTTTTTTTTGAGGTTATAATTCTTGCCGGAAAGAACACTTGTCAATTTTGTTGAGAAACTTACGTTTTTGTAATTACTACGTGAAGAGAATACAGATTTGTGTAAAAGAGACTGCTACGATAACTGTTATTTTTATTGAAAAGTTACAAAAATTATTTTTTTTTTTTTGCAATTAGAAGTTTTATTAAAAGTGTATTCATTACTTATCAATTTTGCTGTATTTATATATTATGCATTGCAGAAAAATGCATTATAGGAAAATATAAATATAATTTAATTTAAAGTATAATATAAATTTATATAAAAATTAGTTAAATCTTAAGGAAATTAATCTTTTTTCTAAGAACACTTATATTAATTTTAGAAGTAAACAGTGCTCGAAAATTAGACTTTACTTACAACAAAATTGTATAAGAACATGTTATACTCTATAAATAATTTTATTGTTCTTTTTCTTAAAGTTTTCACGATGCATTGAATGATAAATATAATTTGAAAATTAGTTAAATCTTAAGGTAAAATCTTAAGTTAAATCTTAAGTTAAATCTTAAGATAAAATTAGTTAAATCTTAAGTAAAGTCTTATATTAATCTTTAATAATTAATCTTTTTTCTAAGAATGCTTATATTAATTTTAAAAGTAAACAGCGCTCGAAAATTAGACTTTACTTACAACAAAATTTTACAAGAATACATTATACTCTATAAATAATTCTATTGTTCTTGTTCTTAAAAGTTTTCACGATGCATTGAATGATGTTTATGTGGGAATCATGCTTTCAGGAATTGAATTTGGACTTAGTGCAATTTCCCAAGCCCGTTTATATCAGCGAGGTGAGAATCATTCCATTGGGCGCCAGAGTACAGGCAGACTTTCCGGGAGGGGTGCGACTCGGGTAACGCTTTATTCTTCGCACTAAAAATCGCAGAATCTTTTTTTTCTCCTTGTTATTTTTCTTATAATTGATAGTAACCTTTGAACCTCCGAGAGATACAAGGAAGCTCATTCTTCCCTTTTAGAGCGACCAATCCCTCTCAATTCGAGATCGAGTTTTTCGTGAACGATCTCAGCAAACCCGGGGCTTCCACCTTCGAGTTTTTAGGTGGTTTAGAGTACAAGCAGAATATCCATATCCAGCTGGAATGCGAGCGGAAACAGATACCGACGGACGGATTGGTGTTGCGGGGATGGTACACCACCATAACGCTGGCGGTGTACGGTACCCTCACCAAATCGCTGAACAATCCCCAGGAAGCCGTCAGCTCAGCGGCCGGCACCACCGCCTGCGTCAGCTCCATAGAAGAAAATCCTGAAAATGCCGTGCAAATTTCTTCCGAGCAGCAGCCCGAGTGGTATTACGAGAACCAGCATCAAACGAATTTATCGGTAAGAAAAATTCGACGTTATAACTATAGACATCCATTTAAAAGAAATTTCGGACAATAAAAGTATCTGAAGGATATCTAAAAAATGAGATGTATTTCACACTTTAGATGTGTGTCTTTTGATTTCAATGTAATTTGCAATTCGATGTATTTGATTCTGGTAGCGCTAATTTTATTAATTTAGTAATTAAAGAATAACTAGTTACACGTTCCTCGATATCTTTTTAATGATACAATTTCAAACGAATTTATCGGTAAGAAAATTCGACGTTATAACTATAGACATCCATTTAAAAGAAATTCCGGACAATAAAAGTATCTGAAGGATATCTAAAAAATGAGATGTATATCACACTTTAGATGTGTGTCTTTTGATTTCAATGTAATTTGCAATTCGATGTATTTGATTCTGGTAGCGTTAATTTTATTAATTCAGTAATTAAAGAATAACTAGTTACACGTTCCTCGATATCTTTTTAATGATACAATTTCAAACGAATTTATCGGTAAGAAAATTCGACGTTATAACTATAGACATCCATTTAAAAGAAATTCCGGACAATAAAAGTATCTGAAGGATATCTAAAAAATGAGATGTATATCACACTTTAGATGTGTGTCTTTTAATTTCAATGTAATTTGCAATTCGATGTATTTGATTCTGGTAGAGTTAATTTTATTAATTTAGTAATTAAAGAATAACTATAGTTACACGTTCCTCGTTATCTTTTTAATGATACAATTTTCACTCGAGTTTGAACGTACCATTGCAGCAGGAAACATGCGTAACGGCAACTCCATCGCCGCAACCGATCCAGGTGGTGGAACCGTCCAGAACGTCCGCCACGTCGGAGACGGGAAAGGCGGAGCCGAGACAATGGGAGGAAGAGAACGCGTCCAACGCGGGCGAGAAGCCGTCGAAGCGACCTTTGTCTCCCCCTACCGAATCCCTGATCTCCCTGAGCCCCGAGTCTATCTCCGCCGAGGAGGAGGAGGCGGAGCAGCAGGAGGCTGGCGAGCCGGAAACCGGCGAGCCCTTCGAGCCGATACTGTCGGACGAGGATATAATGACCGACGATGTTCCGTCTACCGCTGAATTCGAGTGCGAGGGGTCGCAGATCGACGAGATCTACGCGACGGTGCCGCCTGATTTGCTGAGCTTGGAGAAGCTGGAGGACTTGGAGGACACCCGCGTGAGCCGCGAGACCTTACTGAAGATCAGAGAGATTCTGCAGTCCCTCTCCAAGTCGGTCTCGCACTTCCACAACGCGTCCGGTCAGGAGAAGGAAACGTTCGTTCACAACTGCGAGACTCTGTGCGCCATACTGGGTCCGTTCGACTCGGACGTGAACGACGTCAACGACTTGACCGACGTCGTCAATGCCGGTTTGGACATGGAGCTCGCCAGGGCGCAACCGCAGCCGGCGTACAAGGTGCGCCACGTGAAGGTGGGAGTGCGCCTGGCGGAGGCTCTCTGCCGACTGTCGAAGGGCCCGGAAATTCTGTTGAAGGTCGAAGCCCCGTATAAATTGCTGTCCCTTTGTATGCGCGAGAACGTGGCGCTACCGGTGAAACTTTCCGCCCTAAGGGCCCTCGACGCCGCGCTGATCAGCCCGATAATCGTGCAGGAATTTCTGCGGAACAATTTGTACAGAAACGCGCTAACGATGCTGGACACGGCGAAGCTGGCCAGGCTGAAGTACGCCCTCAGCTCGCTCTTTCGCAAGGTCCACGTGTACGAGTACCTGGAGGAGACCAAGAGTTTCGACGAGGTCGGCCTGGCGGAGCTGATGAACGCCTACGTGTGCGCCCCGACGTTGATGGCGCAGCCCAAGCGTCAATTGCCAGCTGGCGCCCAGATGGAATTCGAACGGGAGCACACCCGCAACCCACGCGCTCATCTGGTGGCTTATTTCGAGCACCACAAACTGGCCCATCATCTTCTACTGGCGCTCTCCTCCCCCGATTGCAATGTGCAAATGATCAAGTTAATCCGCCGCTTCCTCTTGCACCTCTCCAGTACCAAGGAGGGCCTGTTTTACCTGTTGAAGGAGGTCGAAGTAGTTCGACTGATACTGAAAGCTATGAAGTACGAGCTGTCGGGCGCCGGGCGTGTTCTAGCGTGGCGTCTCCAGGTCGCGCAGTGCCTGATTCGCCTGAAACACACTTCCGACTGGACGGTCTTGAAGAGACTGCACTCCTTCCTCATTTTCCCCGACGGTTTGCGCGCCATTCTCACGGTTCTACCCGTGGGCGACTTCGTAGACATTCTCATCCCCTTCCTGTCGGATTCCAATCTCTGCGAATTCGCCGCCGAGGTGATATCCGCCGTTGTCCGTTACTCCGACAGCGTGGAGATCTTTCAGAGCCGCGCGGAATTGATACTGGACAAAGCTCGCGAGCACGTCATCCTCAGGGACGTGATATCGTACCTGACGGTCGCGGCCCAGGCTTCTCATTGGGATTACTGCGACGTCTCCCCGTTGGTGACAATCATCAGGAAGAACGCCGAGAAGGCCGCGTCGCTTCCCGGTCAGCTGATCACCGCCTGCAGAATCTTGCATTATCTCGTCTTTCCGTCGAACAGCGACATCGACCCCTTGGAGCCGTACGTCGAGCTCAAGTACAGGAACGCCCTGACCCAGCTATTCGCCGCCGACGGCCTCACCGCTCTGGTTGCCGTGATGGCGAGCGTGTCCGAGTTCTACGAACAGCCGTCCCTTCACCGCGCTGCCCTGACCGGTCGCAGAGGTATGGCACTGATCGCCTTGTTGCTTCCCTGCGTGAAGCTGACCAGGGCGCTGCTCGAGCGACTGGTCAAGTGCATGGCGACGGACTTTAAAGATCTCACGGCCGTCGTTCCGTTGCTCGGCGTGTATTCTTTGATCGAAGCCATCCCGTCCAACATAATGGTACGAAGTCTGTCCGAAGAAATCGTGGGTACGCTCCTGGTCTTCACCCAAGCCGTTGATTCCGACGGCTCCGGCAACGTCGCCAAATCGCTGTGGACTCAGATGCTCGGCGAGGTTCTGAAGATGATCTCCCTCCGTCCCTGCAACTTCGTGCCGGGTTTGAAGCTGCTGACACGCCTGCTGCCGCCTGTCCTGACGCCGAAAGAGATCACCGCCGAAGACGCGACGAGAATTCTGGGCCTAAGGAAGCTCTGGTCGGCGCACCTTCAAGCCCAGGCCGCGAATCTCATCGAAACCCTTCGGCTACTGTGCACGAGTTGGAACGGCGACGTCCTGCTTCTCCTATCGACCGTTTGCAAGCAATTAAGCGACCTGGCGGCACCGACAGCTCTCTTGGTCGGCAGGTGCCTTTTAGATGGTATTCTAGCCGCCGCTCCTCTGGAGAACAACGTTCCTATTCTCGCTCTGATCAGCGATCTCGCCAGACATGCGCCTATGAAGGCTACTCTGCTGACCTTGACCAGCCCGGCGTCCAGAGCGCAGGTAAAGTCCGATCAAAAGTATCCGCCAGTCATCGAGATGATGTGCTCGACTTTGAAAAATAGCAGCAACGTCAGCGTGCAATACGAGATCCTCGGCATCTTCGAAACTCTGTGCAACTGCAACCTCAGTCTGGTACAGGAGGATAACGAGCCTTTGGAGAAGAGACTGACGCACTCGGTGCCCAGCAAGGAGCCTCTTCTGTCTATCCTCGCGGCTCTAATCGATATCCTGGCGATCAGCACGAAGTACCAGCTGGACATGATAGAAAGCACGCTGCACATCCTCCTGTCCCTCAGCAACCACAATTACGGTCTGTATCACGTTAAGAGCTGCCTGGAGAACAACCCCGGCGCCTTGCGCGCGCTACTGGACCACGTGACCAGCTTGGAGGAGTCCGAGACGAACCCCATCGTGGATTTGACCGTGACTTTCCTGGAGAATCTGATCGCCTCCGACTCGGAAGCGAGGACCTTGCATCTACGCGCGCAGCAGCTGGCGCTCTTGATCTCGTGGGAGAAGAACGATCATCCCTTGGAGAAGCTGAAACGCGCAGAGGAGCTGACCGAAATTTTGAGAGCCGCCGAAGAGAAAGAGGAGAAAGAACCTATCCCGGAGATGCTCGAGCCTCTGTTGCCCACCCCGGAAGCACTACTGAACCAGTTCTCGCAAAGGTGTCTTTGTACGACTAACAACAGCCCAGCCCGGCTGCCCAAGAAGTTCTCGTTCACGGCGAATCAAACGCAAGCCGAAGATACAGTGGACCTGTTGGCACTCGCCACTGAATTACTGCCCGCCGACTTCAATCTGTTAGCGGAGGCGCAAAACTTGTGTTCTAAGATACCTCCCGACGATGCCACTCAACCTCTGCAATCAAAACCCCAGGATGAAGAGCAGGAGAGTAGGGTGGAAAAACAGATTTCACCGATGGCCAAGTCGAAGCAGCCGTTTGGTAAGATTGTAAAGAATTTATTAGGCGATTTTTGGCCTTTATTTCCTCACACTGAAAAATATTAAGGAAAATCCTTGAAAAGAAGTAAAATGGACAATTAATTTAATTTTTAATTAATATCCAATTCTTTGCGTTCAATTACGTAGGTCGATCGAGGATTTGACGATTTATGATTTTCGATGATAATTCTTTTAGTGACACCGGTGCGAGGTCGAACACAGTTCGCCAATTCTCTACGAGGTGGTCCGGTAGGTGGAGGCGTCGGCAGAGGGTCGGATCCCTTCCGATCGAGGCCGCCCAACACCTCCAGGCCACCGTCCCTTCACGTGGACGAGTTTGTGGCGCTGGAAACCTGCGGGGCTCAGCCAACCGGCCCCACCGGATACAATAAGCTCAACATCCGCGGAACGTGCCCGTCGCGCGCCATCAGCAGCGGCACCAGGAGTCGACCTTGGACACAAGAAATTCGTCCCACGTACCTTCGCTAATTTATTACCGTCTATTACTCTCCTTTCATTTCGTGTATGTGTATATTTACAAAACATATCAATTATACCAACAACAATACATAAATTCTTCTCGAAAGGCTGTATTTTGCAGAAAAGATATTTCGTCTTGTAATGAAATTATTGTTTTATCATCTTTTGCCATTTGGGATACTGCTGTTCGAATCTTTCGATGTTCTCTTCCAAGCGTCTCACTTTTCGAAGTCTGTATTTTCCCTAGAAAAAAATATTTTATATATACATATATATTACATGGTCTAAACAAATTTGAGCGTCTATGTTTTTTTAATTTGTCAATGAGTTAAGCACGAGTGGAAAGGATTAATATGCTACAGCAAATTTTGTTGTACGTACTGTCGGTTTCTCTGTCTTCGATAATCCTTCCGAGAACTCCTTCACGATTGCAATGGCCTTCTCATTTGGTCTTATATAGTTCTCCGTCATGTATCTCATCACAAACAACAAAAATTCAAAATTTTTTTTACGGCAGGCCGTACTGACGAGAGTACCCATGATTACGGAGTTGGGTTTATAGCCGAAAGCCTCTATTCCTTCCAGGAACTCTCTGGCGTGTTCCCACTCTTGACAACCAAGCGCCAAGACCCCGAACGTCATTACGTTTGGTGAAAGCATCTTCTTCTCTGTTATGTTTATCACCTCCTAAAACATCAAATCAACAGACACGTGAAATCACATGTAATACAGACACATTCGAGTGGTTAAAGCGGCGTCTACAATGAGACTTAAGATTTGAGATAATTGGTCAATCACAATCGATTATTCTTCTCGCGTGGAATGAATAATCGACTATGGCCGGTCAATTTTCTTAAATCTTAAATCTTGACACTGCATAATCGGGGAGGCGATTGTGCATCTCGAAAACGAGATGAAAAATGAAAAAATGAGTAAATTCGCTACAATAGTTGCAATTTCATTTGCCAATACCTAGCGAATTTGCTCACTTTTCGTAATTTTCATTTTATTTTTCAAGATACACAGGACAATTCAACACTCTTACCTTTGCGGCCTTGTAATCGAATCGAATGCTGCGCCTTTTAATGAGCATATTAAAGAAATCGATATCCAGCTCAATCCCTTTCTCGTCCGCGATTTTGACGAGTAAATCCTCAGCTGGCACCGTGTTCGGTATCAGGTCCAGGAGCAGCGTGATGGTCTTGGCGTCGGGTTTAACACCGTCGTTGGACATTCGATTCAGAAATCCCTCCAGACCGCCGAATAGAATCAGCCGATTGTTGACGAACACATCGTTCAAGCCTACCGATTTCTGCACAGCTGCGTCGCCGCGTTTTTTCTCAACGCTCATCTCGTTTCCCGTTAATGGTAAAAGTGTACCCAAAACGGGCGGGGAGGCCAGCAGATCCGGCCTCTCGCCTTCCGCGGCCGAAATCCTGGTCTGGTCGAATCCCGCGAGGAGGACATCGTCGGGCTTCAAGTCGCCCAAATTGGTGTCTCTCATCGCTCTCAGGAGGAGATTGTACGTGGCCAGGGTCACCTTGATGTTCTTCAGGCGCATCAGATGCCACACGATCAGGGCGTGCCGCAGGCCGGCCTGCCTGTCGGAGATCGCCCCGTGCAGCAGGGAGTTGTAAGTGGCATCACCGACGGCGATACCCCGGTCCCTCATCTCGTCCGCCAGTTGGAAGGCCTCGACGATCCGGCCGTGCCAGCTGTACGCCTTGATCATGGCGTTGTAGTGCGTCTCGTTTACCGGGAACCCCCTATCGTACAGCGACCGTCGCAGCCGGTTCAGATGGTCCAGTGCCACCGCGTCGTCGCTGGCGTAGGCGCAGGCGTTGAACAGGCTGGTGTAGGTCGCCGCGTTCGGCTGCAGCCCGTGCTTCTTCGCCCTGTTGTACAGGCCAAAGCACCGCCTCACGTCGCCCTGCTGGGCGAAACCGTGCAACAGCAGATTGTACAGGTACAACGTGGGCTTGTCTCGGTTCTCCTTGATCAGGTCGAGCACTTGCAGAGCGGCATTCAAGTCCCCCTTAGCCTTGCACGACTTGATCATCTGCGCGTACTTGCCCGGGCTGGGTTTCAGCCGACGCGGCACGTGCACCTCGGTATCCTGGAACCTCTCCTCCTCCTGCTCGCGCTCGTCCATGGAAAAGCGCTCGAACTTCCTGCCCGCGATGTCCCCGAAAACATTGGCGCTCTTCGGAAGTTTCTCCGTGCAAAAGCTGCCAACCCGCAGTCGCGATTTGCATGGCAAATGCTCGTTCTTGGCTGCAAAAGAAATATAATACATTTTTGCATAACAATTCTTTGTACTATTCATTATTCATTGTTTATTGTTATTACGTATAATATATATACATATAGCTATTCTTATGTCATTAAATTTCTCGCGGTACATGCATAATGTAGAGTGGAAATTTTTTTCTAAAAATAATCAGGAAGGAAAAGTCTCGAATATGACAATAGAAATGCAAAATACTTATTTGTCCCTTCACGTACATTGTTTCGCTACGGTCAAGTAATTCAACTCATTAACATAACCTACGACGTTTTTGACTGATGCGCGAAAATTTCGACAGAACATTTTACAAGCGGGAATAATGGCATTAAAAGGAGAATTTGTTTTTTTATTCAAATTATATTTACTTTCAAAATACTGGCACAAAACATATATTAAACTTTAAACAGAATAAGCGAGGTAAAGTTACACACGTGCCGCAATCCGATAAACTGTCACAGCTAGGTTAAGTAATAGGTAATAGGTTAGGAAACTATTTACTATCTCATTTGTCGTATATATATGATAAATTTTCTGAGCATATTAATTGGCTGCGAATCGCGATTCGCGGGGCAGAGCGACGCTTATTTCTGCCGATTCTTTCGCTTCGTGCAAACTAAATAATTGCCATTATTTTCACGATTTCGTGTACTGCGTGCACTACACTTTTCATCTCTCGCTCTCTCGACTCTCTCTCTGTCTCTCTCTTTCTCTTTAATGTCAATCTCACAGTTCACTTCAATCACACGAAGTCTGTTCTTTTTAGCAGAACCTCTTGCTCGGTTCATCTTTCCTCTTTTTCTCTCGAATGTGGAGAGAAAGAGAGGTGAGATGAATCGTGCAGATAACGAACAGACCTCAGTCACGACCATCTTGATATCGGCCGCAAACGCCGCTGCCTTCCAAATACGGAGGTATCAACAGATGTAAACAAGAGGGATTAGAGAGAAAGTCGTAAACGACGCGAATTCAAAGTGCTTCGCCCTTTAATCACTTTTTTTTTAAACACACAGCTCAACAATCAGTTTCGAGAAGAGGGAAAAAATCGAGATCCGTGCTGCTCGATGAACCAATGCTTTTACTTACCTAAAAATGTATTGTTTCGATATTCACTAAGTCCTCTCAATTAGAGCAAATGGTAAGTGCTCTTGTCATTATCAGCGATTTCCGCGCGCTCGTTCGTCGCAATCTTATCGTCGGCTTTCAAAAACAAAGTGATAACACTGGTAACACATGTCATGGTGATAAGTCTGTATACCACATCGTGTACCACATCCATAGATGGACAGATTGTCACCCACCTGCAGCCTCGACCAATATAGCTTTTACGTCAACAAGTCTTGCGTTTGTTGCATTTATTATCGTAGGTCTCATACCATCGTGTACGTCGAAAGATTCTCAAGTAAATCCATACATCCATACAACTAAAATTGTGGCAGCTGTTACTTCTTTCTTATCTGCTAGAATTTACTCTTGCCGATGCGTAGCTGGGGACCAGAGAAATCTCAGTTATCTCGTGACACGATAGAGATTTTAGAAGCCATTCTTAAAATTTTTAAATAAAAACGACGGCGTTGCAATAAATTCATTTCTTTTTTTTTCACAGCTGCTGCAACTTAGCTCTTTGCCTTAAAATCTTTATTATGACATTGATTTAAATCGTGTATACAGCATTACTTATATTAATTATTGACTAGCAAGCTCTCTTTATATTTGTCGTTAAATTAATAAAAAAATTTTTACAGACTGAGTCCACGGTGAACCTGGATCTGTTCACTGCTGCTAAACAACTAGCAGACAGCGAGATCGAATTGATAAAGGTAATTGAGAATTCCAGCAAGTGCCAAAGAACTCCTACAAACATGTTCACAAATGCGAAGAAAACGAAGAAACCTGGGAAATCGAAAAATGTAAATATTATCTTTATTACTGTTAGTTGCAACAATTTAGCTGTTGTCGACATTTGTAAGTGTGTAAAAGTTTCGAAAAGTATCAATCTGAGTATTCGAATTATAATAATGACAGATTGCAATGTAATGTCCTTTTTTCAAACATATATTTACAAGATGTCTCAAAATCCATGTAATCTAATAGTATTCTAATGATCCTGATGATGCTACAGGCTCGTCCATCGGCTGCGCTATTGGCCGCTAAGCAAGAGGCAGCGAAACGGCAGCTGCTGTCGGACAAGAAATCCAACAGCAGCTTCATACCGGATATATATCAGAGAGCGATCGAAGCGTATAAAGTGGTGCGAAAGGAGACCGGTCTTGTATTCGATCGTGGCATGGCCGAGCACGAGTGTATCTGGGATCCGAATTATCCCGAGTGCCCGGCCAGGTTCACACGAGTTTTGGAGAGATGCGAGGAGCTGGGTCTGGTACAGAGGTGTAAGCTCATCGAGCCGAGACGCGCCACGGAGAGCGAGCTCCTAAGTAAGCACAGTCAGAAACAGATTGATGTTCTGAAGGCGACGGACGGCTCTACGGATGCGGAGAACTTGGAGTTTCTGTCGTCCAAGTACGATTGCGTCTACGTTCATCCGGTATGTGCGGAGATAATTTCATGATTTTTCTAGTGGAAAAGTAATTAAAAAAAGATGATAAAACATAGTCAAGCTTATATCTTTTGAATATTATTGAGGTAAACGTATCAGTGACTGAATCTGTATCTATATCTGAACATGTACATGTTCAGTGACTGGTACGTTTACCTTAATATAACTTTTAATTACATTAAAAAATTATTGACAAATTTTAAGATTTATTTGTTTTATTTTTACAGTCGACGTATAGATTGTCTTTATTAGCCGTGGGCTCAACAATCAATTTAGTAGAAAGTGTCTGTAAAGGCGAGATACAAAATGGCATGGCTATTATCAGGTAAATCCTAATATATGAAGATCTATAAAATATTACAAATTTTGACGTTTAATTTGATTAACTGTATTTTTAGTGTGATCTATTTTTCTTTATTTTAAAAATAAATTCCAAGTTAATTTATTATTAATGGTATAGTGCATTTTTTGTTATGTTTTGAATTGAAAAATATTTTTATATATCATGTTATACATTGTTAGAGAATTTTTGATAATTTAATAACATAATAATTAATGTTTAACGATCAATTAATAAATAATGACTTATTCTTTCAGGCCACCTGGTCATCATGCAATGAAATCGGAATATTGCGGTTACTGCTTTTTCAACAATGTAGCTCTGGCAGCAGAAAGAGCTTTGAGTTCAGGCTTAGCGAACAGGATTTTAATTGTGGATTGGGATGTTCATCATGGACAAGCAACGCAACAAATGTTTTACAATGATCCACGGTACACTTCCTTTTTTTTAATTGCCTTGTTTTCCAAGGCAGCGCGTGTTCCATCAGAATTAATTAACAATTGTTTTTAAATTTTATCTTACAGCGTAGTTTACTTTTCGATACATCGTTATGAACACGGCGAATTCTGGCCAAATTTGAAGGAATCTGATTTTCATTATATTGGCGAGGATCTCGGAGAGGGTTACAACTTTAACGTACCTTTAAATAAAACCGGCATGACCAATGCTGATTACATCGCGATCTTCCAGCAAGTTTTATTGCCAATGGCTTACGAAGTATGTGATATATATCTTTATTTTACTAGTATATAATAAAATGGTTAATTTATTAATTTAATCTTTTAATGGAAGTATTAACATTGTAGTTTCAACCGGATTTGATAATAATATCAGCGGGTTACGATGCGGCTCTGGGTTGTCCAGAGGTAAATTTGCACATATTTATTACTATCCTTTTTCTTATTTCTTCTCCAGTTTTGCCCAGACCTCGTTCTTGTTTCCGCCGGTTTTGATGCCGCATTGGGCGACGAGAAGGTTATAATAATATTATTTATTACATTATATCGTGCACGCTACTCATGTAATTGTATTTGTTTTCTATTAATGTTTGAATTTGTATAAATATTTATTTTTGTTTGAGATACAAATTAGAGAAATTGTATATTTTGCAAAGGTATATTTTTTACATGTTTTATCTATAGATATTTATATTTTAATTAACTTATAAAAGAATAAAAGAAAGCATAGAGATAGAAGAAATATAAGGCAATAAAAAATATTGTATCATGACACATAGTATCTACATTACTATCTTGTAATGTATTAATATTAGTTAGCAAATGATATTTTTGCTAGCAAATATTTAATACAGAAATCCGCTTGAATTAATAATTAATAATCTGTTAATGTAAATATCTACAGGGTGAAATGCTGATAACTCCGGCATGTTATTCACATTTATTATCATCATTATTAAGTCTGGCAAATGGAAAAGTTGCTGTAGTTTTAGAGGTAAAGAAAAATATGTTCTTAAATATGTATGTTTATATGTTTAAATATTTAATGTAATATGAAACATTTCATTAAAAAATTAAACATTGTCTGATATATAGGGTGGTTATTATCTGAAATCATTAGCGGAAAGTGCAGCCTTGACTTTGAGAACTTTATTAGGCGATCCGTGTCCAGTTTTACAAACACTTGACTTACCATCGTTAAGGTAAGCAATTGTATATTTATTGTTCTTGTTGTCGACATTAAGAATAGTATCGTCTTTTTTACCTTTTTATCTTACGAAAAAATCCTTTTATTGTTCCAGTATACGTGATACTATCCTGAATGTAATCTACGCACATAAACCATACTGGAAGTGTTATCAGTACCAAGATACATACAGCATCCATACTACAACACACAATAAAGAGGAGCTTGCTAATCGGCATATAGTTACGGTTACATACAAGTAAGACAACAGACGTCTAATTTATATATGTCCCTCAAATATAATAATAAATTAGTATGTAATCATATTAATGTTCTTAATATGATCATATTAATGTTCTGTGATTATATATTAATTTATTATAATTTAAATATCCTATCTGTCTGTTTCAGAGGCAGTGAAATTAGACTAGACAAGTATGATACTCGAAATTGCTATCCTGTACAAAGCAAAGAAACATTAGAGGGCGTGGAAAAGAAATTAAACGAATTGATTCAATGTAAGTATTAAAAAATTGTTATTGCAGAAAATTACATAGGAATGTATGTTTTATTTGCTGCTTGTTGCATGTGACACCTAGTGCAAGTTTTATGCGCCAAGTTTCTTAATATTCTGACATTTTGTTTTATTATGAAATTCTATCATATTTTATGAATTTTTGCCGAAGATAAAAGTTATTTTTATATGTAATATATAAATCTTATTGAAAACAAAGAAAATATTGTTTAAGATAATTTCAAATGGATTACTTAATGATTTTTAATAATAATAAGTATATTAAAAGTAAATTTCAAAATTATTTATTTTTAAAAAAATTATTAAAACTTTATTATTTGTTATTACAAATTTAATTTATTGTTTTTGCAGTAACAAACTTACGTAAAGCACCTCATAAAGTATGTATCGTCTACGATGAAAAGATGCAGAAGCATTGCAACATTTCTGACAATTCTCATCCAGAGAAACCAAATCGCATCTCCAGTATTTATAAGAATCACGAAGAACACGACTTGTTACAACGATGCCATTTATTACAAGTATGACGATACATATGTTTGACTTAATAAAAATTTAATTTTATGTAGTACGATCTAGATCATTTAAGTTATAAAATCTGTTTTCTTTTAAAAAATTCTTAATTTAATAGATAATTCAAACTACCACATAAATATGAATGAAAATTATGAAAATCTCGTAGAGGAAACACGCGAGATGTAATTTATGATTCTTTTTTGTGTCACAAAGGGAAGGAGTGCAACGACAGAGGAATTAACCTTGGTCCATTCGAAAGACTACATCGACGACATCAAAAGGACGTCGACCTTGAAGCTCAAGGAATTGCAAAAGCAAGCCTCGGATTACAATTCCGTTTACCTTCATCCTGAAACGTGGTCGAGCGCCTGCATGTCCACCGGCTCTCTTCTGCAAGTAGTGGACGCGGTATTGAATGGGGAGTGCCAGTCCGGCGTGGCCATCGTAAGACCGCCTGGGCATCACGCTGAAAAAGACATCGCGTGTGGCTTTTGTATATTTAATAACATTGCCGTGGCTGCAATGTACGCTGTACAGTTTCACCACGTAAAGAGGTATGGTACACTTAATAATATGACTTTAAATAGAAATAAATTAGATTAGAAAAATACAATAAATTTGTTGCAGAGTACTGATAGTAGACTGGGACGTGCACCATGGAAATGGGACACAATCTATTTTCGAGGAAGATCCGAGAATACTTTACATCTCCGTTCATCGTTACGACAATGGAAGCTTCTTCCCCAATTCCAAGCTCGCTAATTACACGAGCACTGGCTTAAACGCAGGCGAGGGATTCAACGTGAACATACCATGGAACAAGGTAAACAATACATACATTTATTTTAAAATGTATATATAGTTTACAAGCGATTGTCTGACAATGGTATATATATAAAAGTTTATTGTTTGATGCAAAATTGTGTATTGACTGTATTACGTTTATTACATCCGCAGAAAGGAATGGGAGATGCTGAATATATAGCGGCTTTCCAACAAGTAGTGATGCCCATTGCTTATCAATTTAATCCAGAACTAGTTCTGGTTTCGGCTGGATTTGATGCTTGCATTGGTGATACACTTGGAGGTAAATCTATTTTTGCATCAAAATCAATTACTGCATATTTATTTAAATATTTAAAAGGAAAAAACTTAAACGTGAAAAATTTATTTTATAAAATGAAGAGATCAAAAATTTTGTGTTAATGCAATTTACTTACATGTACGATCGTGGTCAGAAAGGTCGCGGCACTTTTATTTTGATGGGTTTCAAAACGCATTGGTGATACTAATATTTTGCAAATGTGAACCACGATTGGTGTACTATCTTTAATCTAGATACAATACACCAATCGTGGTTCGCATTTGCAAAATATTAATGCGTTCGAAACCCATTAAAAAAAAAGGTTGTCGCAACCTATTTTGCTCACGACCGTGCACTTTTGCAATTTATTTTGTATAAAATGTAAAAAGCAGCATATACAAATCTAAAATACATGTATAAAAATATACATACTATATTAATATTAAACATTTTTTTATATATTAAAAATCAAATTCATAATTCGTCCTTTTTTATTTTTGTCAGGTTGTCTCGTAAGCCCAGAACTCTATGGCCATTTAACCCATTGGCTCTCATCCCTGGCCAATGGTCGTATAATTCTAAGTCTCGAAGGAGGTTATAACATCAACTCCATATCCCACGCGATGACCACGTGTACCAAGGCCCTCCTGGGCGATCCTTTACCGATGCTGGATCCTAGTCTCATTCCTTGCACCAGCGCGATAAATTCTATCAATAACGTACTGAAGACTCACAAGAAGTTCTGGCCCAATCTGCAATACGGAATATCCTTACCGAAAGAGAAAGTACTTCCCAAATTTAAAAAGCTTTCCAGTAAAGATCCTAAGAAAGTCGACGAGCAAGGAAGAAACGCGGATAAACCGAAACAAACGGAATCGAAGATCGCCCTAGAGGGAATCGAGAGCGAGAAGCTGGAGCTGAACCTGGCGATCGACAAGAACTGCTTGAGTCTAGTGACGGACGAGGAGATTTCGAAGCTGGCGTGCGAGGTGGAGAACATTAAAATAAAAAATTTTGAGTTGCACGCGATGAAAAGCGAAGCGGTCGAGTCGCGAGGGAGTTCCGAGTTGAGCCAGAGCGAAGCGAAAAATCCGGACGGTACATATCTCGAATTCACTTTAATTAATTTTAATAGAAATAATTATTGTGACTGATAAAAATGATGTTTGATCGGCAGTTTCGCAAAGTATACAAAAATGCGTGAACGAGACGAACCAATCGAGAGGCAGCCAGCAAGGCAATTCTGACATACACGAGGATCGCGACGACGAGGGTGCGGCATCTTCGCGACGTGAGACGCAGTCAACGACTCTCTCGGAGTACCTCTCCGACAATCTTCAGGTGAAAAACTCTTATTATCATTATTATTATTATTATATGCGGATATACATGAATAAAAACAAATGAGTATAATAAAAACAATTGACGTGCCTTTTGCTCTGCAGGCCCTGACGGCGGGAGAGATGTTCGCAGTCGTGCCCCTGCGAGACTGTCCGCATCTGTTCACGTCAGTCAACGAGGTTCCCTCGGGCGGAATCGACGTAACTGCGCCATGCGCCGAATGTGACAGCACCGCGGAGAATTGGATCTGCTTGCAGTGTTACTCTGTGCACTGCGCCCGCAGTATTAATCAGCACGCGATGCAGCACGCGGAGGAGCACGAGCATCCCATGACGCTCAGCTTCAGCGATATTTCCGTCTGGTGCTACAGTTGCGAAGCCTACGTCGATCATCCTGTGAGTACATCTTGATACGTTAAAAATATTCTTAAATAAGATGATTAAGATTTATGCATAATAAACTAAATAGTACTTTTAAATTAGAATTTATCTTTGTTTTTTTTAATAATCTTTACATTGTTCCGTTCTTAGCTATTATACGCGGCAAGGAACGCGGCTTATCAAAGCAAGTTTAATGAAGAGCTTCCCTGGACTTATAGCGATTATAGTGGTCTTTAAACACATCTTGATGAAAGAAATATATTTTAAATAATTCAATAGAAGATATATGTTTTTTGGAAATAATTTTTTTAAATTTGTTGCGCGACTAGATAAAAATTTGAGAAAAAAACCGGCTAACAAATGAAAATATTAATAAAAAAATAAATAATAATATTAATACCATGAAACAATATTTATTGCAATGTAATAAATAAATATATATAAATAGATAGATAGATAGATAGCTATTAATTATAATATTCTTTTTGCTTTTACAATTTCAGATAAATTAAATTACAAACTTGAGAATATTCAAATTAATTTTGATAATTTTGACATAGAATACTTAGTTTTTAGAAACATGTGTATTGTATGAGGATACATAATGTTTATTTATAAATTAAAAAATGAATTTCCATTAAAAAGAAAAGATACGAGGGATAATATCGGGACTGCTGGAAATAATCAAACTATAAAAATGTTAATAAATGTACTGAAATAATTTACTATTAATGCCTCAGTCTAGAAATTGTTAGTTGTACTAAAGTTACCTCATTGACACGATTATAGAGTTACACATAATGTACCGAGAAGCTGAAAAGAATTCAACGCTCAGTAAATAAAAAAAGATTTTTGTCTCTTTCTGTAAATAAAGAAAAATCTTTGTCTCTTTCGCAAATAATTGAACTATTCAAGTGATTCACAAAATATGCATTATTCCTTTACTGAAAATTTTCCGATATGCTATGTACATTATATTTTTCTATATACATATATAGATATATTTCGCCTCACGAGAGAATGATCTCTAGAGAATGGTCTAATAAAGGTCTACTAATTGTAAGATCATTCACACGACAGAATATATTTAGAATAATAATAATAATAAAGCTAAGCATCATCAATAAATTAATATTGAGAAAAAATTAAATTTTATTAATGTATACTTTATTTGATTTTTTAATCTTAAAAAATACTTATTCTGATTTTAACGTTAATTGTCAAAAGAAGAAAGGGAGAGTGGCTAGAAGAGAGAGAGAAAGACAATGGAAGAAATGAAAGTTTTATATCTTATTTACGTGCCTTCAATTTTATTTTTCAATTAGATACCTCATTACATAATAATAGATTTTTCTGTAAGAGATCGTCTTAATCACAGATTCAGAGATGCTTAAAGATCTATCTTGTTAAACTTATTTTCTCTTGGTACGCATAAAGCTTAGGTTCTCAAGCAAAAGAGAAATAAACCCAATTTTCAATTAATTATTAGTTAACGTTTTATCTTCATTTAATATATTACTTCTTAGTATAACATTCTGTTAATTATATCTTGTAAGATATAATTAATCGTATAATTTATATATTTTATACAGAAATGTATGACAAGGGAAGGGAGGGGGGAGATCATTCCCATTGTCTTTCACTTATTCCTGGTCTATTCTCATACTTCGCAGATTGCCTTTACTTAGGAAAATTCTTTCCTCTGTGTATAATACTGTTCTCTGTGGACTTGCGGTGAAACGCTGCTTACGTTCTGAATTCTTTGTTTCAATAAGATGTGTATTTGTATACAGTTTATCTCTTGTCAAAGAAGCTAATGTACTAATTAATAATTAAAAGTAAAAATGTGAAATTTTGTATTCATACCAGTCGTTAATTAATTTAAACTGTAAATCTCCGTGCCATTATTTTTAAAATCAGTGCACTCAATCCTGAGATCTCGGAAATCTTTAACGCGAAAAAACTTACTTTTGTATTAGAAATTGCAAACTTACACCATCACTTCGCAGCTCCAGAACGATGACTGTAACGACAATAACGTTTCTTAAATCATCAATTTCAGTCTTGGCGTTGCAATATTTTCGCTCGTAGAACACTTAAAGGAAAAAGTAAAAGCACTTTTAGAGAAGACGCGCACAGAAATCACTTGTACAATTGAAGAGAAGCAATTGACAAACATGACAGTAGACATTTTAATCTTTTTGGAGTAGCAAATTTTTTTCAGCGGAAATGACATCATCGACAGGCAGATTTCAGATTCCTTTTTGATACAAGAATAATCGTTTCTTTGCTACTTGCTACAAGACACGTAAAAAAAAAATTATACTGTAAAGTTGCAAAAGGTTTCTCTCTCGAGAAATATCGTACATAATTTATAATTTTGCACAGTCAAGCTAAATGTTGCACTGTTTTTTTTTTTGTTCTCTGAACAAGTTTATCATTTTTAACTCTTTTTCGCGTTGATCAGTTCTTTTGATTAGTTATTTCATATTTAATATAAATATATATATTATAAATAATTATTACATATATATGTATGTACAATAAAAGTATGTGTGTGTAAATACACACCCAATTTTTTTAAATTTATTTATTTATTGCACCTATTTCATCTCGATTCAGGCACTAAGTATTCGATCTTTAGCAACAGTAACCTAAACTGTTCGACGTACCCATAAACGTCCTTTGCAGTCTCAACGATAGCGTTAAAAATGCTGTCGCTTCGCAAACTTAATAAATGTGCCAATCCATCGAGTGAACGCAACGACGGCAATTTCTCCACGGAGATGTGAGGATAGAAAGTCTTGACCACGTGAAACCTGAACAAGTGTGAATTATTGCTCGACAATTCCGCGAACTCGTTTATCGCGGAGGCCGGTAACGCGTAGTACAATCTGTAGGGGATCCTGTCGGCGGCGAAGCTCTCCTCGCAGTCCCTGACCCTCCGGGCGATGCTGTCGAACACCCGCGGCAGCGGCTCGGAGCCGCGCTCGTACAGGTGAAAGTCCCGCGTCAGTTTGTACTTGTGATTACTGCTGCTGCGGTAGACCCTGCGGGTGTTACGCAGCTGCAGCAACGCCGTGGGCAGCGAGTAGCTGTACGAGGTGTACAGGTGCACGTGGGCGAGATGCGGCTTCGCCTCGAGCTCCGTCGTGATGTGGGACGCGAGCGGCAAAACGCCGCCCTGGTGCGCGAAAGCGTAGAAGAGGGCCAGCAGCAGATTGCCGACGTACCAGAGCGTCAATTTCCCGGACCTACGCCACGTCGTCGGCTTGACGGCGCCGCAGGACTCGCCGTTTCTGCCGTCGCATCTCCGGACGATGTCCAGACTGGGCACCTGGCTCAACTCGGGCGCGTAAAGGAACACCAGCGGGAACAGCACCGGGATTATGAAACGGGCCTCCTGGTGAGGAAAGAGGGACAGCAGGGCGACCGGAACGACGAACGTGAACGTCATCAGGCCTACGATGCTCTGCAGGCGCGGTAGATGCAACCATTGTGCCCTCAGCCCGCTGAAAATGAATATATTGTTAATCGTCGGTTGACCGTTTGCTTTTTCACATCCGATATACGACTCACCTGTGTATCATTTTCGCGCACGTGAGCAGTCCAATGATCCCCAGGACGTTGAACAGCAGCGGAACGTTCACCAGGAAATGCAGGAAACGAGGATGCAGCCCGTGCAACTCCAAATTCTTCGTGTTCACGTTGTACTTGAGAAAATTAACCGGCGTCACCACAAAACTGTCGATCCCGACCTCCAGTCGGCCGATCTCCGCCATCGTTAAATATCCGAAGTAGAAACTGTCGGCTAGAATGAAAAGCAGCGCGGCCGGCAGTCCGCAGAGGACAAAGACGAGCATCCGGATGTGGAAGTCCTTGAAGCCGATGCTCTTCGAGTTCAGTCCCCTTTGCAGCCAGAAGAAGATGGGAATGAAGGCGAACGCGATGAAGGTCGGCCTGTTGAATATCCCTATCACCGTTATCGTCGCCAGCACGAAGCAGTCGTTCAGTGAATGCGACGGCAGCAACGCCCTGAGCTTGTAGTACTTGACACGCTCTACGACGGACGTCGCTTCGTAGTACTTCTTGGAGAGGTAATCGCTCTGCAACACCACCTGGCACGAAACGATACAATAATTGAACGGTGAGATCACTTAATTAATTATACGGATGAGAAATTTATTCAAAACATGAATTAAAACCCTCAAATCTTAACAAATTTCTTTCTGCGATTCTCATCGGTTGTCTTTAGTCGCTTAATTTTCGAAGGAATTACTTGAGGCTTTACCTTCTCAATAACTGAACGTCGAGATCACTTTATTAATTATATGGATTTTATTTAAAAAGAAATTTATTCAAAACGTGAATTAAAATTCTCAAATCTTAACAAATTTCTTTCTACGATTCTCGGTTGTCTTTAGTCGCTTATTTTTTGAAGGAATTACTTGAGGCTTTACCTTCTCAATAACTGAACGTTGAGATCATTTATTAATTATATGGATTTTATTTGAAAAGAAATTTATTCAAAACGTGAATTAAAATCCTCAAATCTTAACAAGTTTCCTTCTGCGAATTTCGATTGTCTTTCGCTTAATTTTCGAAGGAGTCACTCGAGGCTTACCTTCTCCGAACGCGCCATGCACCGGGAAACGAAATACAACAGTGCGGCGGTCAGCACCAGTTCAACAGAGTTGGACAGGGTACGGGTGGCGTAGGTGAGCATGACGTAGGAGCTGGCGTACGTGACGAGCCTGACTCGGTAATTCTGCCCGTACATGTAGCAGATCTTGTACAGAAAGTAATCCGACAGGAAGGAGAGTGCGCACATGAAGAGCCGGGGGAAGAGCACGAAGAAGTACGGCCTCCTCAGCGATAACCCGAGGAAGTGATACGTGTACGGGGACAGTCCCTTGAGAATCGCGTACGGCAGACCGACGACGACTTGAGGAATAAATGCGGAACGTATGGGAAAGGTGGCATTGAACTCCCACGGCTTGTAGACGTCAATGTCAAAGTGGTCTCCTGTGCGGGAGAGCAGAGCAGATACTTAAATATGTTGAATGTAAAGCAAACGCGCGCCGAGGCTGCACGATGGAATGAAGAGATGCGGCGTACCAGAGATAACTTCAATAGACTGAAAGAACTCGTCGGGATGAATGTAGCCTGTCTGCGAGACGAAGGTGAGGACTATTCTCAACGCGGCTAGAATCCAATAGAGACCGAGCCCACGCCGCACAGGTGCCGCAGTTTGATAGTCATCGATGGACCTGCGATACTCGTTTTTGGGCTGAACAAAAGAATTTTATGCGTGTGGATGTGAATACATGAAAATAGATTTAAATAAGAATTAAAATCCAGAAATTTTATCTTTCACATGTGCAAAGTTAAAGTTTTGTTTCTTTGAATGCAAAAATGTTTCGATCGAAATCGAAATTTTTTAAAGTGAGATATTGACCATTATTTTGCAATTAGTTTTTTTCGTCACCTTTCAGATTTATCGTTCAATTTTATTAAATTATCAAATACATCCCTTGAGATGAAAATTATATAAATATTGAAATATAAAGAATTGTATACCTTCAATGACATGTTTTTCTGCAAGGATTAGTTCATCACAACTTAACCTCAATGACAGTTCTCCGACATTTATTCAAAGAAGAGAGATTATAGAGCCATAAATTATCGACTCTCTTCACCTCCGTTTGTGATCAAGATACTCAGAGAATCGCATTATAATTGCGGTACTCGTTATCTGACACATTGCTCGAGGATACTATTTATACTTTTATCTCTCACTGGCCAATTCAGCGCAGCTGTAAAGAACAAACCTAACCTAATCTCAGGTCTGTTTGCAGTTTGCACTCAATATATATATATATATTAGGGTCTTCAAAGCGGGTGTCGGTAACTTCCCGGCGTTGCCAACTTCATCCCTGCAGTCGGTGTGGCAGTTCGAGCTGGAGTGTTCAGAACGCCGCCGCGAGAGGGAGTGAGAAAGCGCGACAGGGGGAGGGAGAGCGCGCGCGCGCGAGAGAGAGAGAGAGAAAGAGAGAATGCACTGTGCAGCGCGATGCAGCCGCGAGAGAGAACGAGTTTATTGATTCGGCCGCGCATGTCATGCACACGACGAACAACAATGGACGCCGTGTGACTCGTGAAACGTTCCGTCCGCGAAAGATTGTTTACCGTCGCCTCGTCGTCGTCGAGGTTCCTTTGAACACGTCGCCGTTGAACTCGACGCCGCGCTGCGAAGTCGGGAACGTGCCGTGCGCCGTGGCTGTGATCGCGTCGGACAATCCCTCCCCCCCTACCCCCCGAGCGTGCTAAAACGGTCTGTGAAGTGTGTCAGTGAAGGGACAAAGGGTGTCACGTAAGTGTGCGCCGAGCCCTCGGGAGGACTCGTCAGAAAAAAAAGCGAAAAAAAAGTATCGCGAGGACTTCGTGAAAATTAAGAGAGAGAGAGAGAGAGAGAGAGAAGGAGAGCACTGTAATCTCGTATTTAGTGGCCTAAATCGTGGCTTTGCGCGATGAACTTTTTTAGATAACTAAAGAGATTTAAAGAGCAAAAATAAAAAACCGTACAAAAAAAAATGAGGAAATAAATAAACAAGGTCTCCCGACGGACTCTCTGACGTGTTTGACGCGGACGGAAACATAAAAGCGGTTGTTTACGCTGTCTAAGATCTGTCCGAGTATAAGAGTAACCTCCGCCTGCGGAAGGAGGAGTAATGGAGCATGGAGGATAAATAACTAGGACTTCGGAAAAAAAAAAAAAAAGTTTCCCCGTGCTTTCAGAGACACTCCGGTAGTCGCGGCCGTTCCTCCCCGTGCCGAGCTCGCTATGTGTTGTTGTCACCTCATAATCTCAAGGACTACTGCCCGTTAAAAAAGCCCGTTAATTTACGTATATACATTCCGCCCGAGAATCCTCCTCGGGTGTCGAGCGCTCCTCCCCGGTCTCCCTCCCCCGAGTCGGCGGGACCCCAAGTTTTGCCGAGGTTGTGTCCCTGTCAATTTGTGTTAGGCTCGCCACCACGAGAAAAAGGCCCGGGGTGCCGCGCGATGGCGCGCGTCTGATACGCGCCGCTTTAAGAGAGAGAGAGAGAGTACCCGGGACAGTGTGGACTTTCCGCTCGATTCCGCGGAATCCCCGAACTCTTAGCCTCGCTGTACGCTATATAAGTCCCTCGCTACCTCGCATTATTGTCGTAAGATGTACGAGAAAACGTTACGATACGTCGTTCCTCTTGCCAGAGTGCAGTGTGCCCCCCGCGCAGCCCAGCGGCCTAGTAATAAGCCTACCTCCCGTCTCTGCGTTGCAGGACGCCCGTTCCGCAGGGCCCGACCCGACGGCGACAGCGGCGTCGACGACGACGACGACGACGGGGGATAGTCCGGTCGGTTGGCAGCCATGGGCAGCAACACGGACGGCGACAACCTGAATCTCAGCTGCGGCGAGAACGACAACGGCGACGAGCTGAGGATCGCCGCGGACGAGACGTACGACACCCGCAGCGAGGTGTCCTCCAGCAGCTCCAACTCCGACTCCAGCCACCCCACCATCAGCTCGGTCTCCAGCAAGTCCTCGCGCGGCGACAACAAGCGCAGCAGGCGGAACAACAGGAGCAAGCGCGGCCGGTCCAGGGACTCCAAGTCGTCGAGCCCCGAGCCGAAGCGGGCCAGGTCCAAGGAGAGCAAGGGCACTACCAAGAACTACGACTACACCACCAAGTTGAATTATTTGTTTAGAGACGCAAGGTTCGATGGGGACAATTAGTAGCTACTTGTATCATTTGTATCGATAACAAAATTACATTTTGATGAATCGTATTTGAATGCTGTTTTTGAGGAGCATTAATTTATTTCTACATTGAACGTGCCAAACGTCAGAATTCAGTTTGTTACTATGAATTGTGACTATACTATATTAATGTACGAAATAATATGCCTTATATATGTAACTTGAAATTTTATATCGAATCAAATGTGATAATTGTAGAGTTATGTGACATCATGTGTTTTTATAGCGAGCATGTTTTATGTTATTTGGAGAAAATTACGTTTTTCAAAATTACATATTGTTAATGGATCATCTAAATGCAGAATAAGTTTTTCTAAGTATTATTATAAACTATTATTAAATATTTCTTTTTCCACAGATTTTTCATCATCAAGTCTAATAATGCGGAGAACGTGACACTGTCCAAAGCCAAGGGAGTATGGAGCACGCTGCCGCAAAACGAAGCAAATCTGAATCAAGCCTATAAGGAATCGCGAAACGTGTTGCTGGTATTTTCTGTAAAGGAGTCGGGAAAGTTCGCTGGCTTTGCGAGACTTAGCACCGAATCGAGAAGAGACGCCGGTCCAGTTTCTTGGGTACGCAAATAAAATATAACCATATGCTAAACAGTTATACAATTATCAGTTTCATGATTAAATTGATTTTTTAATAACATTTGAATTCTTATTAATTATGTAGATCGTAAAAAAAAAGGGAAAATAATGTTATGGGAATATATTTCAGGTTTTGCCTCCTGGATTGTCGGCAAAGGCTTTAGGCGGTGTATTTAAAGTCGACTGGATCTGCAGGAAGGAATTGCCCTTCACGGCCACGTTGCACTTGTACAATCCTTGGAATGACGGAAAGCAAGTCAAGATCGGTCGGGACGGCCAGGAAATCGAGCCCAGAGTCGCTGAAGAATTGTGCCGATTATTTCCAGAAGACGAAGGTATTAAAAATATACGAAAACATTAATAAGTAAATGTTAATGAAATGTATTAAATATTTAAATTTTATTTTATGTGTTTAATTATATATATATATATATATATACGTATTTGTATTAAATTGTGCTGCATATAAATATTTGTGTGTGCAGGAATCGAAATGACGCCTATCTTGCGGAAATCTAAGGAAGCAGGGAAACACGTTGTGAAGTCGTCGCGTTATCGCGACAAAAGACCCATAGGCAGCTCTAGATTTTTACGAAGAGGCGGACGAGGGCGCAAACTATTCTTAACTTCGAGATCACGTTTAGCCTCGCTGGCCAGGGGATCTCAAGATATTACGGGAAATCATAGGAGTTCCAGGGATCATTCTTATCGGTACACGCCGTGGTTCAATCGAGGCGATTCACCTTACACAAAGTACGACTATTTAACATATCAGTTATTTAAAATTATAAAATGGACATATTATAATAGCTTTTGAAATTTAATGCTGCAATATAAGTGTTCATGGCATATATTTCACGCCGTAAAATTATATTATATCATTGAAATTATCTTTCAAAGGAAGATATAAATTCTCGATTTACAAAAAGACGCTATCATATACGATGATGATAATTAATTTCTTCTAGGGGTTACGGAACTGGATTGGGTGTCGCCGCGGTTGCAGAGGCTTACGTCGCAGATTATATGCGTACTATGCAACATCAGTTGCCCCCGTTACCGCCTTACGGTCCGCACCCGTACGATTCTCTGCCACCACCTCCTCCACCTCCAAGGTGAGTAATAAATATTGATATTGAACTGAACAAAGTTCTCCTATCACGGGCGTAAGATTAAATGGGGGTTTTCATCTTTTTTTTTTCATTTTTTTTTTCAGATATTACGATGGTCTACCATTACCTCCAGATTACAATGCGACCGCATCGGCACTAGATAAGCGTAGCTACGAGAGGAGCGTCGACGAGTTCCTATGGAGGACGGCTAGTCGTCACAGTCGGCACAGCGATCATCGTTCCTCTCGCGATCATCACAGATATAGAGATCGCAGATAAGGATCTCGACTTTAGTGTTCTTGAAAATCCGTCGGTTCCCAAATCGGTCGTTGATTAGAACTGGAGACGGAATTACTGATAAAAGGAATGACGAGGAATTGAGTCGTAACATATCATGTTTATTTCGATTTATAGAATGTTTCTACAGAAATGTAACGTAAAGTGTATATACATATGTATATATAATATGTATATACATATGTTATATACATTATATATAATAATATACACGTTTAATATCAATTATGGTTGCAGATATATTTATTAAAAATCTAATTTAATATATATAATTAATGTAATATTAGAAATATAGATTTAAATTTGTATATAAATTAACTACAAAAATTTAATTTAATTGAAATGTTAAAATATAATTTCTCAAGATTCGTGAACTCTGGGAATCGACGGATTTTGGCCGTATAATCATATTACATTACCATAAAGGCAATGTCTAATCGATGACGTTTAATTGTCATTAATTATCAAACCGCGTTACTGTAGCGCGATTCCAAATGCATTCTCGCTGTTGTAAAGTAATGTAGGTTAATTAAGTTTTGTATCATTGAGTATACTAAAATTTGCAATTCCTTTACTGACTGTCCAACATATTTCGCGATCACGTAAACGAAATGCAATAATATTGAAATATCTCGCCAATCAAAAAAAAAAAAGAAATATACATGATAAAGAGACATTTGTCCTTTTATTATTTTTTTTTCTCGAACACTACATTTTATACGCCGTTTTATATTGATACGAAATAATTCTTTCGCAATGGGCAGACTGAATTAATTTGGGATCGATCCAGTTGTCAATTTAACTTCAGTAGAACTAGATTGCTTTCAATCCAGCGATTCCATGTGTTTTTATATACAATCTCTACCTAACGAAGTTCCATATTGTGATCTCTGTTGTTTGAATCAGCTGTAACCTTAACAGAAAAATGTTCTTCTCTTGTTCCACTCTTTCACTGCTCGTGTTTTCCATGGCATATGTCCACATTACAGCAAAATGAAAAATAGAACGCGCCACATTTTCTTTCCGCGCCATTAGAATAAGAGTTAGGGATTGGAACAAGAGAAAACTTAGAGAAGCGTCCTAATGACTACACAAAACGGAGAGTTGAGTGTATGTATTTGTATGAAATAACAGTTCGAAGATACATAACACATGAAAATCACAAGTATCACATTGTGTCACCTTATTGCTAATCTTTTCGTTAAATATAATTAATTCGAGAGAAACGTCTAACGTCTGACAAACGAAATCAGGAAATCGACAGGCGATAAGAGATATCGCTCACACGTACCACCCACGGATATTCCCAAGCGGATGCCTCGTCCTGATGGGAGACAGAAGTGCGGAAAGATTCCAACTTGCTGCAGTGACTTTGACGTGTCAAGGATTATTTTTAAACTCTCGTAAATTTCGATTATTATAAGTTTTCAAGTAGCGTTTTAAATAATAAATCTTATTTTTAAAGTGTTTCATTTTCAAAGTATTTTCAAGTGGTGCTTTAAAAATAATAATAGATTTTAATGAAAACAGTTTATGATTATTGTAAAATTGTAAATTATGACTTCCTCTCTTCCAGGGGAAGTCGAGAGTCATTTTGCGTGCGCGTCGCGTGGTTGAAGATCGCGGCGTTTAATCATGTCCATTAGAACGCAATTTTTCAAGTACAGTTTGTGCATGGTGTTGTTTTTCCTTATTTGCATTATTTTAATTGAAACGAGAAAAAGCTGCATCGTAAAAGAAACGACAGGCGTGACAATTAAATGCAAATCGAAACTGAAAACGCCTCACTTCCCGGCTTCGGATAGGACGATTAAAAAGAATGTCGAGTCGGAGATAAACATGTTGCGGATAGACGAGTTGAAGGGTGGAACCATCGACCTGCAGGTACATATTCCTCTGAAAATTCGAATAAATATTTAGATACGAGAAAACACAAAATTGAAAATATACGAGGTAACTTGGGATGAATAGAAAATATCTGATAAAGTAAAAAAAAAAAAAAAAAAAGATCTCCCCGACGGGGAATCGAACCCCGGTCTCCCGCGTGACAGGCGGGGATACTAACCACTATACTATCGAGGAATATGTATAGTGGTTAGTCAAAATTTAGTACTAACATTAAATGAATTTAAAATACAATTTTGATCACTCTGCACATAATAAAAATTTTCAATTATTTCAAATATTATCGAAATTAAAAAATTCTTGAAACTTCTTGATTAATTAAGTCTTAAAAAAATAAATTATATATATAGAGAGAGATTTTTTATAATTTTATATTTAATTAATCTATTCTATTTTTTACTATCAATTTAATTTTACACACAGACGAGAAAACAATTTTATTTTTAAGAATTTTAATTATACAGGAGAGCGCGACTATACTCCAACAAGTGTCGAGCGTTTGCGCGAAGTACAAACTGAAAACTCCTCTTGTCAAAAGGCATTTTCTATACAATGCCGAACATAAGTCGCTATACTGCTGGATCCGCAAGATCGCGTCTACCAGTTTCACCAAATTGTTTTCCGACATGAGCAACCGTCAAGTCGACCACGATCTTTACAAGTAGTTAAAATATTAATCATTATTAAACACATTTAAATATTTTCTATATTTGTATTTATGTAATCTTGCTTAATTATTAATATACATATACACAGTGTGGCTACAGTTTCCGAATTGCAGGAACGTGCCACAAGTGTGTCAAATGTTAGATGTACATGTAGAAAATAAGCAATAAAAATTTCTTTATAGTGAATTGTTTTTTTTATGAAATTAATCCGGAAATTTTGTAGCCACACTGTATGTATACATATAACATAATAAATTACTAAAAATCAATATAAAATAAATTAATAACATAATAAAACTTATTAAATAATTTGTATCAATTATTATATGGATTTAGAAGAATTTACTTTTTTTAAGACTCAAACCTTTCTAATTTTTTATATTAAATTAATTTAGTTAATTATATGTTAAGATTTTTATTTTAACTATTTATATACATCTTTCATTTATTCTTTTAAATAAAAATAAACCAATGATGTACAATTTTAATTATAACGAGATTACTAATGATTTGAGAACTTGCAGAGAAGTGGACTTCCTATCGCCGGAAAGTTTGAAAGATCTGCAGCGTTTCGCTAACAACAATACCGTCTTCAAACTGCTCGTCGTCAGGCATCCATTTCATCGGCTGGTCTCGTCGTACAGGTAATTTAATCTTGTTATGAAAAATACTTCGAAGCCAACACATCGAATCGACAACTTCGCTGAGGACAAAAATACAGATTCTGTCATTCCGTCATAATTTATATTATTCTAACATCCAGATTATTAACACCGATGAAAATAAATATTAATATAAAACTACTTGTATAGAGATCGCATCGAGGACAACAGTAAGTACACCGCGCAGTCCTGGCTCTACGCTCGTCAGATTCTTCATCTCTCGAGGCCGGAACTGTTTCGTGCCAACGCATCGAGCGGCAACATTCTACAAAGAATATTCCTGGCGGACAGAAGGTACGGCGAGATGCTCATATCTCTAATTCTCTCACGCAGCTAATTCATACAGCACAGAACACAGATTCCCATCTGCGTTTCTCTGCAGGCTGAAGGTGGTACCCAGCTTCCGAGAGTTCCTGGAGTGGTTGCTGAGACAGCCGCCGGGACACGATGACGTCCACTGGGACCAGTATCACACCCACTGCGCGGTCTGCAACGTCAGATACAACTTCATCCTGAAACTGGACGAGTACACTTTCGGGCAGGTCAATTACATCCTGACGAAGCTGAAGTTAAACAAGGACAAGATCTACCTGCCCAGGCTGCAGCGCACTCGTGCCGGGATCACCGACTTCGACGTGACGTGCAAGTACTTTAGCGATCTGACCACCGACATGGTACTGCGACTGTACAAACGGTACAAAATCGACTTTGAGATGTACAACTATAAGCTAGAAAAGTATTTGCACTGTGCTAGGGGCAAAAAATTGACCTGACCCGACCAGACAACAAAATGAAATAAAGCAAAAATAATGTTTAACTGAAAAAGTGATAAAAAAATCGTTTTAATAACTGAATTTTTTAAAGACTTGATACCTTCTTGTAAACTGGATATAGAAGATACATTTGGACTGACTTTTGAACGAACCTTCATACCTTTATAAGGCCCGGTTCCACAAATGTAAGATTAACTTTAATCTCGGTTTAACTTACTGTTTATCTCTTTCTAATTTTTAGATTAGAAAAAGATAACACGAATTGAACTTCGGTTAAATCGAGTTAACGGCGAATTGTGAATCCGGGCCTAAATGAAGGAAATATAAATGAAAATATAAATTTTTTTAGAGATTATATCTAAAAAAATTGTTAATTGTATAATTATTGAAAATGTATATACCTACAATTTTGTAATTAAATAAAAATTTAGATTACAGCGACGTGATGAGAATTAATCAATAAAACCATCGTGTAAGAAAAAAAAACCTTCTATTTTTCTTTTCTAATGATTAAGCTAACGACAGTAATGATACTAATGACAATATGATGATACGTTATAGCATATATTCATCATTATACAAAATTAAATTAACTGTTGTGGAAAACACATATGTCACTAATAGAAAAAATAAAGAAACTTCACTCTGCCGCATATAAATCACACAATGTTAAAAATAACTTCTAAACTAATCTTCGCACAAATGTTCTCTTATTTCTTACAGTTTTACTTTACTTGTCTCTTCTGTTCTCGTTCTCTTAAAAATCTTTCTGTTTTTTTCTGTTTTCATTTCGATTTAAACTTCAAATATATTAGAGTCCTTTCGTTTCAAACCGCATTTCCCTTCGTTTTGACTCTCATCTCGACCGGAGTTAATCGTTATCATCATCACACACTATCAAGCAATCATCAGTGTCGTCGGAAAGCTTTCGTTTTCTCGATGACGTTGATTTGTTCAGTTCGGATGAATTATCGTGGAACACGCTGTCATTATTTATAATGCAAATGTCGTCGCTATCATCGCCATTATCAACTTCCACCTTGCGTTTCTTAGCTGCCACCTCCGCGTCGGTGTCATTTTTGCGCTTCTTAATCACATCGGACGTCACGTTCTGCAGAAAAAAAAAATATATAAAAAATAATTTTTTTGTAACAAATAGATGGCAAAGTAATTGAATGAGAAATATTTCCCCAAGTGCCCTGACCTGTCCGTTAGAGCTGGAAGACTTCTCCGTTTTCTCTTCCTCCTCTTTCTCCTTCGGCTGAAGCGCGTTCTTATCTGAGTGTATCACAAATTGCGGGCTGTCGTCCTTCGGGCCCGGTTTCTCCCGATAAACCACAAAGACGGTCAGCGAATAATTCTGCTGGAAGTCGTCGACCTTGAGAATCGCGCCGTCCTTGATCCCCAGCTCCTCCAGCTTCTTGTCATTGTTGCCCTCCGTTTCGCCCTCCTCGCTGCTGATGACGACGGCGCCGGTTCCGTCGATCATGACGTCGGGGGCGATCATGTTGAGTCTGTTCTTGAGCACCAGCTCCTCCAGCTCTTTGATAGTCATGCTGGACGTGTCGACAGCCAGCACGGCCTGCGGGGTGGGCGCGCAAACGTAGCACTGCGGATTGGGCGGATTCACCGCCTTTTCCGGAACCAGCAGTTGATTGCGGTGATTCATCTTCAGACGCAGGTAGACGGATCTGCAGGCTCGGAGATTGTTCTCGAGGACCCGGAAGGCATGAAGGACCACCATGCCCGCGACGATAGCATTGGTGGTGGCGATCGCTGGGATTATGTTGCCGGCCATTGCTAAGGAAGAAGAATAAATTAGAGTCGAAGATTTCACCCGTAGTAGTTACAATCTGAAAGCGATTCGAATAAATTCTATGTATTTAAATGTATTGTATAAATGTAAATAAAACTTGTAATGTAAGTGTCGGTCCACAATGAGAAAATTTTAAGTTGTAAGCAGTAAGAAATAGACCAATCGAATATGAGGAGAATAATCAATTGTAATTGATCAATATGTTACGGCGTGTTAAAATCCTCATTGTGGAGACACTAACAAGTGTATTAAAACTTCGAAAAGAAATAAATGCTGAGCGACATGTGGCTCCGCGTGAGAACGGTCGACTCATATTCAGTGATTCCCGGATTCGATTACCGAATCTTATTCCATATACATCTTGATTTTATAAAGTTGGATTATTGGAAGATTGTGAGAGAATTATAATGCGAATAATTTCCGGGAATCCACATTTCAAGAACAAAATAAGAAATAAATGGAACTGTTGCTAACATTTGATGTCAAATCTGCTTTTCTGAGGAATTCCAAAGATGTGCGCGCGAATGTTGGCGCACGCGGCAACGAAATCCATAGCGTGCTGATCGTCCTTATCCCACACCAAATGGTTGCCCGGTGACTTTTCCTGAGAAGACTTCAACGTCTGGCTCAGACTCTTCATCGATTCCGCAAAAATCGAACCGCACTTGGAAATGCTCCAGCGTTGCTGGTCCTTCAGCCCGGGCTGACTAATCTCCTTGCTGCATCCGGCCACTTCAAGAAAACAATACAGATTATTTTCATTAAGAAAATTAGGAAGATAATGTTTATGGAACGGCTGTCAAACCTCCGTCTGGCAGTTCCCGCCAATTCAGGGGCGTCGGTGATCGGCGCTTTTTCCACAAGTTGTCCATGCTCAGCAGATACTTGATGTCGTCATGAAAGAGCTTTGTGAACAGTTTTTCCGGGTCGTAGTCGCACGACTGGGCCCAAATTCGTGTGGAAATTCTGTCGATGTTGCCTTTATCATTGGATTCCGCTTGCAAAGCCCCTTCTCCTGCAGTATCTACGATATCGAAACATTGATATCCATTATTATATTTTGTTGTCAACGATAATTGTGCTAGTGACAATAATTTTTTGATAAAGTAAAAATATATTTAAAAAAATAAAAAATTTAAGACATAACATTAAAGATATTTTTTTATAAAATGACTAAAACTGATAAGATGGAAAATTATTACGTAAAATAAAATACTAATTAGCTATCATTATAATTATAAATTATATCAAATATCACAGTATAAGTTGTATTACCAGCCGCTTCAGGATCTGCAGTATCCGGAGAAACATCCTGATCAGGATCTTCTTCCCCAAACAATTGACTGTAATAATTATCACACCATAAAATAAATCAACTGACAATTGTTCATAAAATTAATTTTTGTAACATAAGTAAAAATTAAATTTAGGTAAATCTGATCAGTAGAAGACGATATAAAATATCTTGTTTCGAGATTTTTTTGTAATAATTACTTGAAGAGATGTTTAGCCCATACGATGCAGTGGATGGGTTCGCTGGGTGTGTTGCGGATGGTACAGCCAGGATAGGTCTTTTGCGCAACTTTAGGTGTACACTCGTAGCACTGACTCAGACCTTTCTTGATGAGTTCGACCTGGCCTTCGTAACCCGCGGTGCCGGATTCGATTAGTGGCACGTCTGCTGCCAGGCACATACGATTCACATGGTTTCTGGCTGCTCTGTTGTCAAGAGCATTTAAAACCACTGTGAACCTCTTGAAGAAAGACAAGCCAAATTCCGATCTGCAAATGCACAAGGTTTTAGAATCGTCAGTGCAATATTCTAACAGATGAGATGTCGGCAAACGGAACAAGTCAAAATAAACTTACGATGTAATACTGTCATGATAATGTATCACTTTGACATCTGGATTAAATGTCAATGCCGTTTCACATGCTATGCTGGCTTTTGACTTTCCCACGTGTTTCTTTTGAAATAGGAATTGCCTGTTCAAGTTACTGACGTCAATTGTATCCAAATCAATCTGAAATACAATGAAATGCCCAATTGAGAATAATCTAGATATAATATTAATAATAAAAAAAATATCACAAACCAAAACACAGAAGACAAAATGGTCAATAAAGAAAATTCAAATTGACAAAATTAAATGCAGCAACATTCAATATATCATTAAAAAAAAATTATTAAAAATAATTCACTAAAATAAACCAATATAAAAGATAATTAAATAGCAAAACAGCATAGATCAGCAAGTATCGACAATTGAAAATTATATACAATGAAGCAAATAAAAAAAACAATATAAATGAAAACTGAAACAAGTAATTCATTATTTAAAATAATGAAGTTAATATTGTAATTGATAATATAAAAGTCAAAGAAAAGAAGGTAGATGTTTATTTAGATCGTTACGATAGGTAGTACGTCGAGAAGTACGCCGAGCGCGCGGTCAGTGCATAATTGCGTTATTCTTCCTTGTTTTACCTTCTATCCGGTTTTACGTGATTCTAATGAACGATAAAGATTAAGAGTGACGCAACAACGCTGTGAAAACCGCTCGGCGTACTTCCCGAACGGGTTCCCCGAGCCCGCCAGCTTCACAAGCGTAAATCCATGCATAAGTCGCTCAAAAGTGAGGTTACGTTAACTACTATTGGAATTACTGCAGTATACTCACGATCTCGATATCGGCGAACCCGGACATCACCAGGTTCTTGAGAATCTCACAGCCAATACCGCCGGCGCCGACGATGAGGACTTTGCTGTGTAAAACTGCATCGCGCAATTCCTCGCGGAAAACACCATCCATCGTCGTCGCCATCTTGCCAGCTACATAAATCGCTTCACCCACGCTTGCTTCGCAGCGGCGGCCGGTAGTCGGTACGGGCCGGTATCGTGGCGGAAGCCAGAGAGAGATGGCCGCGATTTAGCTGCGATGGACAATTGGTTTCAGCGCCTCTGGAAA